TTCCCGAGTTAATAGTGAGGGCTATTGGCTTGAGGAAAATAGTGGAAGAATTATTTAATAAAAGGCCTTATTAAATAATAAGAATAAACATTGTAATAATTTTTGCTTATTCTGCACTTATAGATTCATTAAAATGAACAATATGAACCCATCATCACTGCGACAAATCATCGAACTAGGAAACAAATGGAATGGTGAGAATTTTGTTGATTGGTATAGAAGTATAAACAATATAATTCAGTCAAGCGATAAATTATACACCATTGAGCAGGCTTTGTCGCTAGAGCCTACTGATAGTTCTATCCATCAGACTGGGTATGTATATAAGAAGCATACACATCTTGCAAAAGTAGAAATGACAAGATACATTGTACTTGCATCAATAACACTATTACTGCGACAACAATGCCAGAATATGGACTTAGCTTATATTCTTTATTCTCTCCTGAGAAGTGAGAAGTATATGGTGTCTCAATTACTATTCAGATGCAAGATGGAAGGGGGTACCAAAATTGGTGATCATATACTCAAGTTGATCGAGTATATGAACAAGCTTGACATTTTGGGATGTAGACTTAATGAGGGTTTAGCAATAGACCTAACATTACAGGTGTTGCCAGATTCTTATATACTCTCAATTTGTCTATGACTTCATTGAGGGTGATAAGAAGAATACCCTTTTCGAGCTTTTGGATATGTTGAAGGCTACTTAGTTAGGCATGAAAATGTCAAGAACATTAACGTTGGTTGAAGCTAACTGAAGTGAGAATGAAAAGGCTTAGAAGTCGTTGGAGGAAACTGTTGTAGATAGGAATGACGTTTGTCCTCAATGACTAGAGGAAACATTGCAAGGCCTTCCTAGCAAAAAGGAAGAAGAATGCTACTTCTTCGTCAAGTACGTTCATGATTGAGATTAACTTCTCCTGTCCACATCTTAAGTTATCGACACAGGATGTGGTACTCACGTTTGTACTAATGTGCAGGGACTATAATAGAGTTGATTGCTCGCCAAGGGAGAGGTGAACCTACTAGTTAGAAATGGAGCATGTGATGCTGCATTAGCTGTAGGATCTTATCATCTGATTTTGCCTACGGGCTTGTTACTTGGAACTTGTGGATTATTATGATTTTCCTTCAGTTTTTAGAAATGATATTTTTATGTCACTTTAGACAAGTGAGAATATTGCTTTACTAATGGATTATTGTCTTTTAGTATAAATAATATTCTTTATGGAACTATTTCATAATAATAAGTTCTTAAAATAGACAATATGGATATTCTCAAAATAACAACTATGTCAAGTATGGCAAGTTGAGTTAAACATGCCTGAAGAAATGTGGGATAGTATCAAAACTCACCTCTCCGTATACATCCCAGCATAATGGTGTGTCTAAAATGAGGAATAAAACCTTACTTGAAATGGTTAGGTCCATGATGAGTTTTAGTGATTTTCCCACATCATTCTGGGGTTATGCCCTAGAGGCTGTGACTCACGTACTGAAACATGTGTCGTCAAAGTCTGTAGAAAAGACTCTGTATGAACTATGAAGTGAGCGAAAGGCTAACTTGTCTTATTTAAGGATTTGGGGTTGTGAAGCTTATGTCAAGAAATTGACTTCAAACAAGTTAGGCCCGAAATCCTATAAATGTATATTTGTGGGGTATCTTAGGGAGATCAAATGATACTATTTCTACTATCCAGAAGAGCACAAAATTTTTGTCGCTCATATTGGTGTTATCTTAGAGAAAGAATTTTTCCTGAGAAGTATTAGTGGGAGAAAAGTATAACTCAATGAAGTTCTAGAACCACAAAATACATTAGACGAAGGACCGGAAGATGTGCCACAAGAAGTGGTTGAACATCGTGAGGAGGTTACTCCACAATCTGTGGATCAAAGTGAACCACCTCAAGTAGTATAAGAGCTACGTAGGTCTAGAAGAGTATGCCATGAGCCTGAGAGATATGGTTTTCTCGTGACTCAACATGGTGACGTACTCGTCTACCAAGATAATGAAACTAGAACCTACGAAGACGTTATATTGAATCCAGATTTCGTTGAATGACTTAAAGCCACAAAATCTAAGATGTACTCCATGTGCCAAAACCAAGTATGGTCTCTGGTGTATCCACCTGAAAGGGTAAAACCATAGGGTGTAAATGGGTCTTCAAGAAGGAGACTGACATGGATGGCAAGGTGCATACCTATAAGGCACGACTAGTTGCAAAAGATTTCAAACAAACTCATGGTATTTACTATGAAGAAACCTTTTCGCTGGTTGCCATGATTAAATCCATCATGATTATGCTTGCAGTTGCTGCATATCATGACTATGAAATTTGGCAAATGGATGTCAAAACGGTTTTCCTGAATGGAAACCTTAAAGAGGATGTGTATATGACACAATCCGATGGTTTCGTTCTTGATGGACAAACTAATAAGATATGCAAGTTGCAGAGGTCCATTTATGGAATCAAGCAAACTTCAAGGAGCTGGAACATTCGTTTTGATGAAGCCGTAAAAGAATTCGGTTTTATCAAGAACGAAGATGAGTCATGTGTTTACAAGAAGGTAAGTGGGAGCGCAGTGACATTCTTGGTGTTGTATGTCGACGACATACTTCTCGTCGGGAATGATATATCAAACTTGCTATCAGTAAAGACTTGGTTATCCAAGTGCTTCTCCATGAAGGACTTAGGAGAAGTAGCCTACATCCTCGGAATAAAGATCTATCGTGATAGATTACGTAGGTTTCTTGGCCTAAGTCAGAGCACATACATAGACAAGGTATTGAAGAGATTCAATATAAAAGAATCCAAGAAAGGATTTCTTCCGATGTCACATGGTGTCTATCTTCCTAAAGATATGTGTCCTAAAACACATGATGAGAGAGATCGAATGAAGAGGATCCCATATACGTTAGCAATAGGATCCATCATGAATGTCATGTTGTATGCTCAGATTGATGTCTCATGTGTATTAAGCACTTGTAGTAGATATCAATCAGATCCAAGTAAGTGATGTCATGTTGTGTACTCAGATTGATGTCTCATGTGCATTAAGCACTTGTAGAAGATATCAATCAGATCCAATGAACGACACTGGATGGGTGTCAAGGACATCATTAAGTACCCGAAAAGGACTAAGAATATTTTCTTGGTTTATGGAGGGGAAGATGAGCTCATTATAATAGGATACAATGATGCTAGTTTCCAAATAGATAAAGATGATTTTCGCTTGCAATCCGGGTTTGTATTTTGTCTCAATAAAGCTGTAGTGAGCTGGAAGAGCTCGAAGCAAAGTACTACAGCAGATTCTACAACTAAAGCTAAGTATGTCGCATTATCTAATGTAGCCATGTAAGAGGTTTGGAACAAGAAGTTCATTATTGAACTTGATGTGGTTCCAAGCATTGCTGATCTAGTAAAGTTCTACTGTGACAACAATGGAGCCATTGATGTGGCTAAGGAGCCACGATCTCACCAATAATCCAAAACTTACTTAGTTGATTCAATCTGATCAAAAAATCGATCAGAAGGGGATGTGCAGATTTGCAAAATACCTACTAACCCACTATTGAAGTTTTCGTTGCAGCAGAAGCATGATGGGCACTTAGGGTCATTCGATGTTAAATACATGAATGATTGGCTATAGTGCAAGTGAGAGATTGTTAGAATAGGTGTTCTAGAGCTAATAAGTTATTGTAGAATAGACTCTTTGTAATAATGTTTATTAATCAATAAAAATAAAAATCAATTTCTACTACATCGTGTAAATCATAATTGTATGTATTGATATATGTCCTTAGGATGGTAGAACCGTGACGAGGGTATCAAGTGTTTCAAATATTGATAGTAAGAACCCTATGATCACATATGGTGGCCATTCTAGAAATGTTTGTAACCCTAGCATTATTCTGACTAAGGACACAGCTAATATGGTAAGGCTACCATAGTGTTGAACGACCTTGTCGAAAGACAATGAGTAATCTCACTTGTCAAGGTTGTTTGCCGACAACTTGGTACGCCACATGGGTGCTTGCTGTAGGCAAGTTCACTAGGCAGACCCACAAGAGGATTCCATATGGATGGTAACCCGTCTATGGAATAAATCATCTAACGATGGTAGTGCATGTGATCCTTAGACTGGAGATCACCAAAACGCCTTGTGCTCCGATTGGTGTAGTTTGACACTAGCCCAACGTAATTCTATTAAGAGCTATCAATACGGTAGTGATTGGCTATATCGAGGAGTGTATCAAGACTATGGTGGATCGACAAAGGATTCATCACTTTTGGGTACCGGAGAAATTATCTTACAACACAATTCAGTAAATGGCAATGACACTAAATCTGTGGCCACATTGGGATTGAGTTGTTACTTAATCCAATTTATTATTCCAGTCATTCGTCCAGTAATTGGATACCAACATATTGAGGATAACTGAGGTTGACACTATTTATGTACCTCAGCCTCAACGAGATAACGTATGATAAAAAGGTTTGATTGCACGGTAACCATATCGTTGATTGGTAGTTATTTCATTGAATCTGAATCTATCGGGTGTCTATGATGTCTTATTAGGAGCCAATCTTGGTCTATGTGTAGTGAGACGATTGATTGGTGTCAATTGCGATACTATTCACTGCCAATATGATAAGGAGCCTATGGGTCATACACTTAGAAGACATTTTAAAGATGATGACTTTTTAGAATGGTATATTCGTCTTTTAGATGAATAGACATATTGGTAATTTTGTTGTGTAATTAAATTTACTGAGATTGTAGTCAATGTCCAATTTTATTATAGGAATAATTTAGCAAAATTATGAATTTAATTATTAGAGTTAATATTAATATTTAACTAAATAATTAAGTTGGGTTAATATGCAATTATACCTAATGTTGGGTTGATGCTAAACTTGAGGGGTGGAATGGATATTTTACTTTATTATATAAGTAAAGAAAAAATTAGGTTTTCTCAACCTAATTCATTATTGGGCCGTAGAGTGTATTTTGAGAGAAGAATTTTTCTCTTCTTCTCAATTCACTTTCTTCCAAGCTTCTTGTAATCCTTAAAGCCAAGAATTAATTTTGGCAAAATTAATTCTTGGTCATTGGTCTAATGTCTTCGTGTGGACGACGTCAGTTCGATTCCATTCTCGAATTGGTAGCGAATCATATTCAGAGACATTGAAAGAGCCTCCAATCGCAGGTATAATCGAATCTTTGTATGGATTTTCACTATTTCAATTTAAGCATGTAATATATATAGTAGACCTTGATCTTGGCATATTCAGAGTAATTGATGAGCAAAAAATTTTGTATTTCCACTGCCATCGTTCATCGATTACTAACATCCCGTAGTGGAGATATAGTCATGGTTTTTTCGGTTCCTACTTTTCAGTTCAATTTCTTCTATTTAAGTGGTAATCTCTCACTATTTGAATGCTAAGTTGAGTCTGTGTATTCCAAAAAGATTTGAGCCTTAATCTCTTTTATTGTCAATATCTTTTTTTTTTTTTTTTTTTTCAAGATCTGGTATCAAAGCCTATTAAGCCTTGTCCTACTCTTCTAAAAGAAAGAATCTATACCAAAGCAATAGTTTCCTTTGGTCCATTTTAATGATCCCCTATCCCCCCCCCCCAAAAAAAAAAAAAGGTCTATCACCGCTTTCATTTCCATAACATAGAATCTTCTTAAAAAAAAACCGTAGCTTTCTTTTTGCAGTAGCAAGAAACCATGGCATGGTTAATAATTTTGTCCAGCCAACCAATCCCGTTTTGATGGTCACTACAACCAGTGGAGCATGTTAATGGAGAATTTCCTGAGGTCCAAGCAGTATTGGTCTCTTGTGGAAACTGGTATTGAAGAACTAGAAAGAGGAGTTCTCACAGATGCTAAACAAAACCAAAAAAAAAAAAAAAAAAAAAAAAAAAAAAACTTGATGAGCAGAAGCTAACTGACCTGAAGGTTATTTGTTCCAGGCAATAGATCGTTTTATTTTTGAGACTATTCTTGAAAAAAGTACTTCCAAAGAAATTTGGGATTCTATGAAGAAGACATACAAAGGTTCAGTGAGTGTCAAGCGTTCTCAACTTCAAGCTCTCCGTAGAGATTTTGTGACTCTTCAAATGAAGCATGGAGAGTCAGTGAATGACTATTTTTCAAGAACAATGGCGATTGCAAACAAAATGAGGCTATATGGTGACCAGGTGACTAATGTTTCCATAGTTTAGAATAACCTTCGATCAATGACACCAAAGTTTGACTATGTCATTTGTTTGATTGAAGAATCAAATGACTTAGACGAACTCTCAGTAGATGAGCTACAATGTTCTTTTCAAGTCCATGAACAAAAGGTGAATCGGAGCAACATCACCACCAGCAAATAGCAAGCTTTGAAAGCTTCAACCTTTATTGAATCCTCAGGTTCAAGAGGAAGAGGTAGAGGAAGGAGTAGAGGAAGGCGTAGAGGAAGCGGTAAAGGAAGAGGAGGCAGAGGAAACCTAGAGGAAAATGGAAGGAAGGATCCAAATTTTCCAGCTACTGATATTAGTTCTCAAATTCCAGTAGAGGACGCGACAAATCCAATGTTTAATGCTTTAGATGTCATAGCTATGGGCACTATCGTTCTAAATGCTACACCAACCTTCATAAAAATAAAGGAAAAAGTGCAGAGCAGTCAAATATTGTAGAGAAAAAGGAGCAAGAAGCACTATTGATGGCGTTCCATGTCAAGGAGAATGACGTTGAACTAGACATATGGTACCTAGACACAAGCTGCAACAATCATATGTGTGGTAGTAAGTCATTATTTACCCATTTGAATGAAGATTTTATACCACTGTAAGATTTGGTGATCATTCCAAAGTAAATGTCATAGGAAGGGGTGGTGTTCAAATCAAGACTAAAGATGGTAATATTGAAACTATCTCAAAAAAATTTTATATACCTCACTTGAAAAACAATTTGTTAACTATGGGACAGTTGCAAGAGAAGGGATACGTGGCTACAATTGAAGAATGTGCTTGTGAAATTTATGATCCCAATAGGGGTATTATTGCCCATGTGAAGATGACACCAAATAGGTTATTTTTGTTGCAAATCAAGAGCATTTAGACTTGCTTTATGACAAAGATGAATGATTGATGTGCTAAAATACGTATTTAGCAAGAGCACTGATCGCAAAAAGTAATGAACTGATATGTAGAGTATCATTCCCACAAGGATAGTATTACTAAGTATTGAATTCTCTAGCTTTAATATTAATTGAAGAATCAAACAATCAAGTGACGAAATATTGACAATCTAAAGAAAAATTCACAATTAATTAAAAAAAAAAAAAAAAAAGTAAACCAAAACCCAATATCACAATCAACAAACAATGATAAAAAAAATGCTAGGGTATTTGATTTCACCTAGTTACGCTAGTTCAATTTATAGATTATATTACCTAAGCTCTAATTTCTTGATTGAAAATCGAATTCCCTAAGATCTTTGGTACTCCTTCTCATGTTATACTGTCCTATCCATTCTTATTAACCTTCAGAACTAAGAATTGAAGTCTAATAGTTCCGGGTCTCTTAAGCTTTGTGAAATTCTATCTAGATTTCATAGATTGCATTTATCTATCTCTAGTTTTCACTCAATCTAAGGTGTTTATTCCAAAAAGCACATATCATAAATCACTTCTCAATCTCATCATGAACAACACATCATTTGAATGGTGATCAAGTATCCAAAGACAATAAGCATAGAAATAAACACTCAAATCATGAAATTAAAACTAAAAGCATCTTAAATCATATAAATTGAACTATTGTATCAAAGATTACATCAAAAGCCTAACTCAACAGTTTTGTTCATGCTCAAAATTGAAATAAAACAAGAGGAACAAGAAGAATTTAGGTTCATTATTGAAAATAGACACAAAGGATGGAGAATCTTTTCTAGATCTCAATGTTCTTCACTTCTCTTCTTCTTCCATGTTGATTTCTTCCTAAAAATGAACCTTTTACCTTCCACCTCATTTTACCTTCATTTTTGCTTCAATTTATACCTCTCTTACTTAAGGATGAAGCCCTAAAAAGTCAAAATACATTGTTTTATTTTTTCGTATCTGACGTAGTTTTGCCATGGCAAAGATTAGATGGTCGAAATTGAGCATGATACAGTCTAAATCTTGAAACATTGTAAACATAAGAATTGTAGCCCTTTAAATTATTTTTTTAATAGTTCAAGAATCATCCCAATCTGAGATCTACAACTCATGTTATAGCCAAAGAACTGAAACATGTTCCAAAAGACATCTTCTTTAGTTCGCAAACATGTTGTTCACAAATTCAAGCATAGTTTTCACCCTTTATAGTCAAAATTAGGAAAAACTCAAAACATGAAAGTTGTAGATCTGCCTCTTGGATTTCTACGGATGCTGGATTCAATTCATTCGGACCTAACAAGCTCAAGTTACGCCATTTATGATCAAAATCATCATTTATGCTCAAAATCATCGTTTAGGCCTGCAAAGTAAAATTAAAAGAATTAAGTAGCAATCATGACGCAAAATGTATGACAAGTATCCTAAATCCTATTGAAATTCAATAAAAAAACTCTATAAAAAATAGGATTATCAATGATCTAGCGTGGCTTTGGCATTTTCGTTATGGCCATCTACATTTCAATGGGTTGAAGACTCTTTCTCAAAAGAAAATGGTGATTGGCCTACCTCATATTGTTCCTCCTTCTAATGTGAAGAATGTGTTGTTGACAAACAACATTGTGAGCAATTCCTAAAAGGGAAGGCATGGAGAGCACATAAACCATTGGAATTGATTCATTCCAATATTTGTGGTCCCATTAATATTGTATCAAATAGCAAAAAGAAATATTTTATTTCTTTTATTGATGATTATTGCCGAAAAACTTGGATTTATTTTTTGCACGAGAAATCTAAAGCTTTTATAGTATTTAAAAGCTTCAAAGCTCAAGTGGAAAACAAAGTTGGGAGAGCCATTAAAACTCTCCGTACTCATCGTGGCGGTGAATATATGTCACAAGAATTTGAAATTTTGTGATGTGCATGGAATTCGAAGGCAATTGACAATGGGCTACACACCCCAACAAAATGGTATATCGAAGAGAAAAAACCGAACAATCTTGAACATGGTGAGAAGCATGTTGGCAAATGGAAGGATTCCAAAGTAGTTTTGGCCAGAAGTAGCGAATTGGAGTCTACATGTTTTGAATCGAAGTCCCACATTTGATGTTCAAAACATGACACTGGAAGAAGCTTGGAGTGGACAAGCCAGTCGTTGATCACTTCAAAATCAAACGATCTATCAATGGTGTTGGTATGTCACCAAACGCTCCACCAGAGTCGATACCGAGGTTCGCCTATGGCAACAAACCAATAGCCATGTTGGCAAGTTTTTATTCTTTAAAAGTTTATTTAAACAATTTTAATTAATATAAATATTTAAAAAAAAAATTGTAACTTTCTTGTTTAGTGCAAAGATAACCCGTGGCCGTGGGGGACGTGGGGATTAAATTTAAAGAAATAGTGCGTTTTAAATTTTTAACACAGCACTCTCTCTCTTAAGTGTAACCAAACATGGTATTGTATTGAAATAATGAATTTTAACCCTTTAGTATCGTGCAATACCGCCGACCAAACATAACCATAGAAGCGTCAAAACTTTGTCGTCTCTCTAGGGCTACATGATAAAAAATTAAAAACCCAAACGAAAACCCTAGTTGGCAGCGGAGTGTTTGATTATAAAACTCTCAAGTAGCAGTCAAAACTCTAGAGAAACCACCCAGCCAGCAGCAAACAAACACCTATCAATAGCAATGGGGAGTGCTGCGAAAACGAAGAAGCTTTCAAAGGAAGCTAAACCTTCTCTCGCTCCCAAACAATACAAAACCAAAACCAAGTTTAAGAAGAATAAGAACAACCACATCAAGACCAAAACCCCCAACAATGAGAACAGTAAAATCAAATTACAACCTACATCAGCATCGGAGCAACTCAGTTTCTTTCTCAACCAGTTTGAGTCTGCCAATGGCGTCCAGCTTTCTTCTCTTGAGTTGGAATCGATTCAAGGTATCTTTTTTTTTTTTTCCTTAATCATTTCTAATGTTCGTGTAAAAGATCTTGTGATATGCATGCTTTTATTTGTAAAGCTCCTTTATATTAATGCAACTTCAGTTGCTTTTTATTGAAAATAAATTAGTAAGTAAATGATAGAAAGAAATTAAAAAGAGTATGAAATGAATGGGAGAATGCAGAAGGGGAGTATTGATGGGAATGAGATGTGTTTGAAGATGATTTTTCTTTGGAAGTGATGTTAATTCTATGAAGAAGAGATGAAAAATCTTATTATTCAGAGTAAAAGCAAATGATTAGAGAACAAGTTTTGGAAGGTGGGAGTGTTTAGTGTTTGGATATGACCACTACACCCATGGCAGGTCTTGATGACGTGTCTTGAGTTTGACCAATGAAAGGAAGGGAATGTTTAAACTAATGTGAGTACGTGTATTGCAATGCCAAAATAATAGAAATGGACCATCAGTTAACATTTTTATTCATGTTTGTGTTTGGTAGTTTTAAAAATAACAAGTGAAAATGATAATAGAATTAACGGAGGATATTACATTATAGGTGGTCAATATTTGATGAATAATTGTTTGGTGAATAATCAGATCTTTTTATGCACCCTTTCTAGATACCGTTATATATGGCTGCAACTTTGCATTTTTATCTATGGAATTCATATGCACCAAAACACTGAAAATCTGTAATTCCGGTTTATAATTTTTCAGAGTCGTGTATTGTGAAGCTGTCTAACAACTTGGATCAAGATGCTGAAACCTTGGGTAAGCATATGAAAGAAGCTTTTGGAACGCAATGGAAAAAGGAATTGTGTGAAGGACAGCTTGTGGAAGGGAAAGTTGATCCTGGATGTCCAGCAGTTCTTATTATTAGTACTTCTGCCTTGAGATCGATAGAACTTCTAAGGTATGGTACCTTCTCTTTGCATCTGAAATGGAAAATGATTTGTACCATTGGCATCAAATCACAAAAATACATGATAATAAAAATATCAATGTAATGTAGCACACTCACCACCACCCCACCACCCCCACCCCCGGCCGTTTCTATGAGAATATGTCCCTGAACAATATATTGCTCTACCGTAGGGGTTTGCGCTCTATGACCAAAGAATGCCATGCAGTAAAGCTATTCTCGAAACACATGAAGGTTGAAGAGCAGGTTGTTTCTCTTGCTTTTCACTCAATTGTTTTAGCATTTTTTGATTGGAGTATACAGCTTTTGATCTATATATAAGTGCAATTCATTTTGTAGATTATGCCAGTAATCATTCTATGGTGACTAAAAAAGTTTAAAATGTTTTTGACTAATTTATGTCGTAGCTAGATTAATAATACTTTTTATTTCAAGTTAAAACTATAAAGATTATCGTATGAGTGCAGAATGGTATATTCTTACTATTGGATTGCTAAACCCATATTAAATCCTTAAATCATAATGAACTTGATGTGGAAAAATTATTTATATTGATATTTTTCAGTATTCTTTCATGTTGAGTTTGGGAAATGATGCTAAAATACTGAGATATCAAAGGCACTTGCAATGCTGATTATATTTTATTTGCACGTCAGTCTGATCCTGAACTCAACATTAAAGTCAATATTGCCTGTAATGCATGACAAAATCTATGTTTATCAAACATCTCTTACTAATAGATCCCTGAACCCATGTTAAATTCTTAATCTTAATGAAATTGATGTGGAGTAAATTATTAACTTTAATATTTTTCAGTATTCTTTCATGTTGGATTTGGGAAATGATGCTAAAATACAGAGATATCAAAGGCACTTGCAATGCTGAATATATTTAATTTGCACGTCAGTCTGATCCTGAACTCAACATTAAAGTCAATATTGCCTGTAATGCATGACAGAATTTCTGTTTATTAAACATCTCTTACTATTAGATCCCTGAACCCATGTTAAATTCTTAAATCTGAATGAAATTGATGTGGAATAAATTATTAATATTAATATTTTTCAGTATTCTTTCATGTTGGATTTGGGAAATGATGCTAAAATACAGAGATATCAAAGGCACTTGCAATGCTGATCATATTTTATTTGCACGTCAGTCTGATCCCAGACTCTTAATCACTATGGTTATCATTAAGATTCTTTGAGCATTAAGAACTCTGTTAAAAGTTGTTGGCACCCTTGGATATTGAGGACGCTATCCGTCTTAGCTATTTTGGCTTTTGGGGTGCTTATTGCTTAGGATGATGTTTTTATGTTCTTGATGTTCAATGAATCTGTTGAGGTTGGTTTTTAGGCCACAATAGTTGTATGAAGAACTGTGATCAATAACAGAATATGGTTCTTAACTTTTATATTTAAAAATTTTATACTTTATTAAGTTGGCTTTAAGATAGTTGATTTAATTTTATTATACTCAATTAAACATCTGAGTAGTATAAGTTTTATTTTTTTATAGTTCATTTACTGGAAACTTTAACCTTTTCAACAACATTGCTAGACACCGAGAGTCTTCTTCCTCTCTTGGAATCATTTGACTTCAAATCTTTCTGGGCTGTGCTTTGTAGATTTTGTTGTTGTATACTTGTATTGCAGCTTGAGCCATGTAGCTTTCCTTGTCAATTTGTTTAATATTATTTTCTTGCATTCTCTTTCTTGTTGGGTTTGGGAAAAGATGCTAAGATACTTAGATTTCAAAGGCTTTAGCAATGCTGAATATATTTTTTTGCGCGTCAGTCTGGTCCAAAGCTCTCAACTATTTTGTTGTCCTTTCCAAATATTTTAGGAATTAGGTTGATTTCATTATTAAAAGTTTATATCAGTTTGAACTCCAATAGGTTATTGAGATTCTTAGATTTATTTGTTAACTTTAGAGTTTAGAAATGATGCACATATTGATATAGATATGACAGACACTGGCTGTAAACCACTGATGAATTACCTTGCATGTCAGCATGATCCCATTTCCTCCCGGGTGCTTTTTTCTTTTTGGTTGTAAATTTTGTTTGGAATTATAAGTTTAAACAGTTGAGGTTTGATGGCCAGATAGATATGATTCCCGGGTGCCTTTTTCTTTTTGGTTGTAAATTTTGTTTGGAGTTTTAATTTTAAACAGTTGAGGTTTGATGGCAGGATAGATATGATTGTGTGTCAAATACAAAAATAACATTTACATAATATCTTATAATATAATTTATTATGCTGTATTCATCAAAGAAATTGTGAAGTACATAGAATTGTTTAATATCTGATTACAAGTCTAGCATTTTTTTTTTTTCAGTTAAATGGCCTTCTAAACAAATTTGTTTTTTATACCCTTCTATTGTGTTTGTTGGATACTATATTGATCCCAAATTTTATACGAAATTACCCAATAATAGTATTTTAATCTTTAACATTTATGCTCACATGTATCAATGAATTTAGTCAGCGAGTTTTACTTTAGGATCTAAACACATAGGCATCTTTTTCTATGAATCAATATTGAGTAATGGAAAAAAGGACTTTTTCAGGATTTGAACACAAGACCCTTGATTGTGCTTTATGTGATGTTGGACAGTTAATACTTCTGAAAGCTGTCCTGTAATTATCTCTTGGATAACTAAAGGTATAATTATTGTGTATCTTTCATGGTTGATGCAGGTATCCTTGTTAAAGAGCCGTGTTAATTTTGCTAGTGGTACACCAAGCAGGTTAGTATTTAACTCTTTCAGTTGGATAGTATAATTTTTTAAGAATTAGAGGGTTTTTTTCCTCTCTATTTATTAAAATAGTTTAATTCAGGAAGATGTTTCGTCTTATTTGATTTTCGATTTAATTCTTATTGTAAGAGACTTATGTTTGATTAAAAAAAGTCAAAAACTTTTTTACTTTTATCTTAGTGCAAAATGCTCAATGGTATTCGTACTTGAGTGGAGTTGTTTTGAAGTTATAATTATGTTCTTATTACGTCAATTAGGTTATCCTACTGTAGAAGGGAATATTCAGAGATGGGAGAATCAGTTTAAGGGTTCAATACACTAGTTTTTTATGTCCAAATTTTCTTCTTGTTTGCTTCTCTGTTCTTTAACTAAACTCTGTAAATTATTTATCTAACATCTTTCTTTTATTTTTTGCTGGGCTCAGTTCTCTTTGTTTCCTAATTACTGGATATAAATTTATGTTGTTCAGTTTGCATAACTACGAATTCCCCTTAAACATTTAATGCAGTTCTGCTTTATCATCACCTTGTAATACCTTTTGAATGCAAAATTTGCTATGATTTTTTTCTTAAAACGGAAGAGTTAAGTGAACCTTGCACTGTGTTGTTTGATTTTTTTTCTTTTCTCTTTGGTGAAATCAAAATTGTAAGGTGGAAATATCAGTTTCCCTGAATTTAAGTTAGTCTGCGATCTAGTTGGATGATATGATTTCCTATTCTCTTTCTGATTTCAACTACAGGATAAAGAAGCTAATTGACATTGAGGCACTGGGGCTTTCAAGATTAGCAGTGATTGTTCTAGACATGCAAGTAGATTTGAAGGGCTATTTTCTATTTACACTTCCTCAAGTCAGGTTCGATTACAAATGAAGTCTGTCACCATTTTCTTTGTTGCTTCGTTTTGTTTTGCTTTGACTTTTATTATATAATGCCAGAAACCTACTTTATATGCTCCATTAATAACTTTTGAAAATTTTACGTTTTATTAACTTAGCTTTTGGATTCATGTACTTCCATATAATCCGTTATGCGCAATAATTTTTTCCTAATGGTTGGAAATTTTGCAGTTTGAAAGTTTTAATGAATGATATAAAAAGCATTACATATTCGTGATTTGGTAGTTATGTGTCTCTGATTTGTCCATTGACTTTTATTGAATGCCATGATTGAAGAAAGTAAAAATTAATTTCCAGGTTAGAAATTTTATTGCAATTTACTAACTTTACTTCATCTACACTTGTCCCTTTGGCAGAGATGAATTCTGGGACTTGTATAAAAACTACTTTCATCAACGACTACTACAAGGCGACCTCCGGATCTGTCTCTATGGTCCAATACCAGAGGATAATAAGTTAAAGGGTAAAAGAACTATAAATTCTGATGAATGAATCTCTTGGTTTGGTGTAAATTTTGTTCTTTTCCGATCTGTTGTGCTTTTTGCTTCCCCTCAAATGTATGTAGATAATTTTGGTAGTCATTGTTAAGTACTGATATTAACACAATCAACTTTGTTCAGTAAACACTTTAACTGTACGAAGTCTTACTAGAATCATCAACAATAACTAGTGAAACATTGACAAAAGCAATAAGCTGGTATAGAGGCTACTGTTACAGTATTAGGGTAACGTTACCCACAGATCTAGTAAAACATTAAGAAAACATATGGGTTGGTATCAAAGGACTATTACAGTAGATATCTTACCCTCCTTTATTAGCCCATGGACCATTGGATCATGATCCATGGGTTATATATGGGAGTAACAGTTACTTGTATTGAAGATGGTTGGACAAAAATTCTTCATTGGAATGAGTGTATGTATGTTCGTTTAATCACATTGTGTGTTGTGATTGGATGGGTGTACATACGCTTATTTCATTGAAGACTTTGTAAGAGATGTGACAAATTTTCATCTTTATCATGTTGATGGTAAGAGGATTTTTACTTGGTGCTCAATTTTAGGTCAAATGGATGAAATTCAAGAGTCAATTAGATGTCTCATAAAAGAAAGATTGTTGATTAGCAAAAAGCGCCTTTTATTTACTTAAATAGAGAAGTGAAAAGGGAACAAAATAACAAAACATTAATCTCAATACCCACTATCACTTTGGTGGACATTCCACCAAAGCTGGTCTCTAGAAGTTGACTTGGAAGCTTCCAAATAAAAAGAATCACTATAACACCTCTTTTGAAATATAAAATAATAGGTCATATTTTTAGTTTCTTTTTGAGTTGGTGTTAGAATTCACCATGGGATTATAGTCCAAAATTCTTGACCAATGATCTAATGGTTGTAATTAGGCTTTGACTAGTAACATAGTATATCCGAATGCTGTGAATGATTAGAATGATGGATGACCCAAGAGTTCCACAACTCACTTTTGTAATGGAGAGAAATTGGTGTTTACTTTTTATGCATGTGATGTTTTATATTTAATCAAATGGGCTTTTCCACCTCCCCAGTTACAAATATATCGTATTTAAAATGGTTTTATTTTCATTTACCGTTTTGACATTATTAAAAGTATTATATATCCTCTTATGTTTAATTTGAGATTGACCCATTAGTAATTGTATTCGGCTGGAGAAGACAATGTCACTATTATCGCGAGTTGACATTGAGAAGTCGTTCCATCAAAGCCTTCAAGTCAATATATATATTGCTACTTGGACCAATTTGGACGCACTTTAATTAGTTATGAGGATTCTAAAGTTAAATGTTAGGTAAGTTTCCAATGGTTATCCATTATTAGTAGTTATGAAGATACAAACTGAAGATCTCTTGAATAATACATCTAAGAGTCTCAAGCGAACTTTAAACTATCGAAAGGTAGTTGGCACTGCCCTTTTTAAATATATGCTTTTAGGAACTTTAGCCCATAGAAAATCTAGTGATTTTAACCTTACAAAAACACTTTATAATTATGTTTCATAATGATTTCTTTTTTATCTTAAAGAATTTTAGATGTGGCTTCTAAATTATAGTTTTTATAACTGCTTTTTCAAAATCATTTATACAAGTCTTCTAAAATAGCACTGTTGCTCTAATACCACTTGTTGTACAAAGCACTTTTAAGAAATAGGTTTCATCAACTTTGAGAAGATGGATTCATGTTTCCTTGGAAGCTTCGTTAATCAATTTTGGAAATAATTCAAAATATATAAAATAATTTTTTAGTTAAGAAGTTTTGGTATTAATTTGACAATATCATGTATATAACTATATATCATTATATCTAAATTATAAAATATCATTTCAATCCTATGAGATAAATCTAACCATGTATAAACATGGTTATGTCTAAATTAATATCAAGACGTCCAAAATAGAGAATGACTTTATATTTATTTTAAATTATAGTAAATTTTCCATTTTATCTATGATGATAGACATTGATTTACATTTTACTTTCGATTGACGAAGAGAATGGTTAGAGGAACATATTAGGTTTTATTAAAAGAAAAATGTTATTCTATCATTATATTTTATTTAAGATAAAAATAAAAATAAAAATCAATGTATTAAAATAATCAAATATACATATAATAATTAATTAATTAATATATTGGATCAAATCAACTCAACAGAAAGTAAATATTTTGAAATACTAGAAGATTCAACTCTTTCGAGTATTTTAATAGTTGAATTTTCTTCACTTTTCTTTCCATAATTTTCACATTAAATTACATGCTGAAATATAATATTTAATTTTGACATATTTAACAGGTGTACAACACCTTTAAATTTATAAATATAAAATATTATAAACTAATAATAGTTAAAAGTAGGTCACATTACACCTAATTTAAGCTGATAATTTTAAACCGCTTTATCTAAATTTAAAAGTCAAAATTTTGGTAATACTATTAAATCTAATGATATCTATTAGTAAAGTCTATTGTCATGCTATAATTTATCTTTTATATATGAAAAATAATTATTATGCTATTAAGGTAATATTACTTCCAATCAAAACATTAGATATCCCTAATTGTTCGAAGGTCAAGAACTACTAAATTTCAATTGGTAAGAGTACTCCTCCCTTACTATTGATTGTACCATTATTGACCCAATAAAAGTATTTAATTCATAATATTAAGTTGAGGATCTAACATAATCTCTTAAATTCAAGTTTTTATCATCCTTCATAGGAATAATCATTGGAATTCTTAATCGATCGATAGTTTTAAAGTTCCAAAAGATTAATTAAGATATACGTAAACTGATCCATAATACCAAGTTTATGGATGCTGATTCCACAATATTGCTAAGGATGAAGAAAAAAAGTCCTCCAAATGTGGAGGTCAAATAATGTAGCCAGCTGGCAGTAAATAAAAGTGGAGGGATGATAATAAGTATACAAAATGCAACGCAATGCTTAGGTATTGTAGATGTCATTTGGATTGGGTTCAAAAGTTTTAATAGAATATTCCATTTATTATAATATAATATTACAAAATAAAGTTGGCTGCCTCCACATAATTCTCAACACTTTTCGTTCTAATTCTAGTTTAATAATAAATAATTACCTTTAATTGCACTTTTTAGTAGAGTTAAATCTACTAAAAAAATTGTTTAAATCTATTTACAAGCGACTAATTATCTAATCAAAATTGTAAAATTTTATCTTTTTTATTATTAAATGATGAATTGTCTTAATACAATATATGTTATTGTTAACGGCAGACATCAAAACAACCCTTAACTGATAAAATTTTAAAATGTAAAAATTTATATTTAAAGTCCTGACTTTTAATATATATATATTATGTTATGATAATGAGATTGAAAGTTATGATAATATAATTCTTTTTTATGGGTTATTATCTTATATTTTATTTTATTTTTCCATATCATATAAAACTAGAAGATTCTAGATGGCAATAAAGTGAGTCATAATGTGAACATAATAAATATGATGAATTGCAAAATTTTGAAATTGTCACAATCATCTTCATTCCCATCTATCTCTTAAATTTACTAAGCTTTTAGAATTCAATCAATTTTCCTTTTTATTTTAAATATCTACTTTAAAAAGATCCAAATAATTGATACAAATTCAAACACAATATCTAATTAATTATTTATTATTATTAGCTTCTTAGAATATTTACCTCCCTATTAGCAGTGAGTAACCATGCTATCATATTGAACTAACAAAAAAATAAATCATTATCAATAAATAGAACGATATTATTCGAAGAATCTATTGAGAATTGGTCATAAATGCATATATTTTGATAACCTATTGGGGATATTAATGTGTAATATGACTTAAGAGGCCCCACATGGTGACCTTAGCTTGACACATCGTTATCATTGGTCCAAAGATAAGGAAGTGGCTCCCTCACACTAACCTCCAACAACCCTATATATCACCAACACCACATAAACTTCACCATTCCAGCTCCTCTATTAATACACTTATATCAATAACTTGTTCAAGACGCATAACATCTCCTTGTTCCTCCTTTTGCAGCAGAATTATGTCTCAATCTGATCCACAAAGTGCTTTCAACAGGCCAAGAATGGTGGCCAAGAAAGTTCTTGCCAACCACAACATGAGGGTGATGGTGCTGTTGTTAGAAGAAGCATTGGAAGGTTATATTTTTTTTTTTCCAATGGGGTTTCCAAGTTTTTTTTTTTTTTTTTTTTTTTTTGTGTTCTTTATTGTTTTCCTTGAAGATTGGTCACCTGGGAAATGATTTTTTTATTTTTTTTTGGTTTTCAGGAGTGAATTGAAGCTTTTGGATCCTTTCTTAATGTTGGATGAGTTTTCAGGTATGGTTGGATTCATCTCTTGTTTAACAAAATAATAAGTGTAAAAGATTTGGTATAGAGATTTTAAGTTTTTTTTTTTTTGGTTGGGTCTTTTTAGCATCCCCTCCTGCTGGATTTCCAGATCATCCACACAGAGGTTTTGAGACTGTTACATATATGTTACAGGTAAATTTAAGCTTGTTCTGTTCATAATTTTATCTGATAATTAATAGGATTTTTATAAGCCAAATTTAAGTTTGATGGAATTTAGGGAAGGATCGCTCATCAAGATTTCGCAGGCCACAAGGGAACAATTCAGACTGGTGATGTTCAGGTAAATGACATTGACAAATTTTGTTTATAAATTAAAATGTTTAATTTTCTGTGTTTCAAATGGGTTTTATTTTTTATTTGGTGCAGTGGATGACAGCAGGAAGAGGCATAATCCATTCTGAAATGGCTGCTGGTGAAGGTGTCCAATGGGGTTTACAACTTTGGATCAATCTCTCTGCTAAAGATAAAATGTAAGCTTCCTTATTTCTATTGCTATTGCATACTGGACCGGTAATGTTATTGACAAGATCTAGCAAATCCCTCTATCGCTACTGTAAAGTTTGAAACTCCAACCGAAAAAAGTCATCAAAATTGGCATGCTCATGAAAATCCAAATTTGTCAAAAAAGTTCTTGCTTGATGTGTTTAGATAATTTCAGATGACAATCAATGTTTCCTTTGCCTTTACATCTAAGATATGCAACCTTTCCCCTCAATTTAAGCAATTTAATTCCATAATCAATGATTTTCATGTTTTGTTTTTTCATTAATCTTAGTGCAAAAGTACTAAATCCAAAAA